TTGAACGAATCTATAGTATACTCTAATTTGTTTTTATGCATTTATAGCAAATTTATTCAAAAAAGTATTTAAGACAGCATTTGCACCATATTTTTTTTTGCCAAAAACTTTAAACCAGATATTAAATATATAAAAGTAAATAAAAAATATCATCATCTGAAGAGTATTCTAAACGCAAAACAAAAAAAGTACAATGTAATTGTTCAAAATGTAAAGGGAAATATGTTAATCGAAGAACACAACAAGAATATATCGCCTTAGCCGATAGTGATAAATCTACTAAGACCACTAAACAATTATATATATCTAAGTATAAATACAAAGAATCTCTGCTTTCTGAATTCACACAACATTATAGTGCAGAAAGTGATGAATCTGGAAATGATTATTCGGAAAGTAATATTTCTAAAAATGATGAAGATGACAATAATCCATTTCCAGAATTTTCAAAGGAAAGTGAAGATTCTGGAGATGAATATTCAAATAACAATGGTTCTGAAAATGATGAAAGCAATAAACAAGATAGTACAACAAGTGAAAATGATGAAAGCAATGAACAAGATAGTACTACAAGTGAAAATGATAAAGAAGATAGCTCTAATATAGGGACCGATACATTAAGTTTATTTCTAGAAGATAACTTTGATGAAAAATCATCAATTTCTAAAAAATCTTATAAAGAAAAATTTAAGCAGATATCATTAGTTGAAGAAGAAATGGATGTTGATTAACTTTTAGAAGAAATACCTCTATTTGATATATATCAGCAATCAGATGATGATAAAATTATGACAATTCACGAAGAAGGACCAGATGATTCACTTTCCTCAAGTGATTCTTCAAATGATTCAAATGATTTTGCAAGTGAATCTTCAACAGACTCACAAGAATATAAACCTATTAATTTTATTCTACCAGAAATTGATTCTGAAGTTTTTGATCAACCATTCGATTTTGATGATAATTCAAATAATTGGATTATCTTATGAGTAATGAAATATCAGCAACATTTCAATATATCTGATACAAGTATTGAAGTTTTAACAAAATTTCTTCATTTTTTACTTGAACATTTCAAAATAAATGAAGTTGATAAATTACTAAAAACAATACATACTATAAAATCATCTTTAGGTATCTTAACTAAATACAATAAATATGTTGCGTACCTTAAGTATCATAAACTCTATAATCAATTAGAAATAAAAAATTATGAAGAAGATGATTAACCAGTATGTAAAATATGCATTCATGTAGAATATCCAAATCATAAGTCAATAACAAAATAATTAGTATATAATAAGCCATTAGCAAAGTTAATAAATACAAGAGATAGCATATTATTACAACCATTAAAAATTTATCTAATTGGAAGTATAAAGCAACAACTTTATATGATGTATTAGCGAGAAGGCTTTGAGAAAATGTTAAGGCATTCAAGTAGGATTGGACATTTTATGTAAGTTATTAAAATTTAATGTAAGTTATATTTTAGTTTATGTAAGTTACTATGTAAGTTAAGGTAAGTTATAAATTATAAAAATTATACTATTTAATTCTATTTAAAATTATATAAACTATTATTAAATTTTATAAATATTATAATATTAATTATTTTTATAATATTAAATTAGGGATAAATAAGTCGAGTCTATTTAGTTCTAAAAAGATCAGTCTAAATTAATAAATCTTAATTCCAATAATGATCTTTAAAACTTCTAAATATTTTATTAGCTAGCAAAGAAAATCAAATCATATAACAATAGCAGTTGCAAATAAAAGATTATATATCATATTTTATAATTCGTTATTTTAATTATTTATGAAGACTGGTTTAGACTAGCCTTAAGACTGGTCAAAAAAATTTCATGACTAAAATGGACATGCCTTGATTGATAATCGTATCCTGCAAACTAGACTAAATATATTTATACAATTGCTTTACGATCAAACAAAATTAATGCCAAATCAGAAATAAATCAAATATATAACAATGAGGTTTCAGAGCATAAACAACCAGATATGAGAAATTAATAGGAAAATCTAATAAAAAGAGTAAAACTGTTAGTAAATATTAAAAATACAAATGTATAAAAAAGATACCAAAATATAATATTTTACTTATCTTTTATGATGCCAGAAAAGGCTAAAGATCCTAATAAAGAAACTATCACTAAATAAATAATGTTGTTTGTTTTTATTAGTGTTAGTTTAATATTAGTGATAAATAGTAAAGCAGTGAATAAAAATATGCTCATCAAATAGTAATGTCTCAAGTAGCATGATTAACAGACATACCCAGTAACCAATCAATATATATAATTGCAATCGAACCAAAATCAGATAAATATGTATATATAATCATCTCAAACAATTTAGACAATCAAGTGACCAATATATGTGACCAAATTAGAAAAGAATTATATTCACAATGCCAATGTTTCAAAATAGTGAGATCGAAATAATAAGTTGTAAGGTTTATGTTTGAGAAAAAAAGAAAAAAAATATTGTTAGTAAGTTAAAACTTCTAAAATAGAAATAGAAAAAAAAACTTATCTAATAAAAACCAGAAACAATTGATAGTAAGAAGAATGGTTAAAGTATAATTCTAAAAATAGAATTATTAAAAAAATAAAAATGTGTTAATAAAGAAATCACATCTTTCTCTGCTCTACGAATTAGAAAGAGTAAAAGCCTTTTTTTAAATAAGCCAAGCATAATAAAAAGTATATTTGTCACAGAGTATATCTATATTTGCCACTTTACTACAAAGTTAAATTGCTTCCTATACTATTCTTGCTAATCATGTCTCGCAATAAAGGTACATATAATGATTCATTTGATATATTTAAAGATTCTAAAGAGAAAGAAAGATATAAATGTCATAAATGTGGAAAAAATTGGGCCAAAAATGAAACAAGACTACAAGAGCATTATAATTCTTGTATCTTAACAGATAATGAAGAAAATAGAATTTCTCTTGGATTTAAATGCCAATATCAAACCACGATAAATAATTTTGTATATAAATTATCTAAAGCCAATTAAAAAAATTTAGAAAGTGGTTATAATAATAGTCGACCCATATATGGCGCAGAGGGTTTAAATAGATAACTCCCTAGTTGGGTTATAGGTATGGC